CATGCACTCACAGAATCACAGAATCTCAGGAGTTGGAAGGGACCTGGAAAGCTCCCCCAGTCCAACCCCTGCCAGAGCAGGATCACCAGAGCAGTCACACAGGAACACGGCCAGGGGGGTTTTGAATGTCTGCAGAGAAGGAGACTCCACAACCTCTCTGGGCAGCCTGGGCCATGCTCCATAACCCTCACACTGACAAACTTTGTCCTCATGTTCAGCTTGAACCTCCTGTGCTCCAGCTTGGGACCATTGCCCCTTGTCCTGGCATTGGACATCCCAGAGCAGAGCCTGGCTCCTTCCTCCTGAAGGAGCACCCACTCATTGCAAGAGGAGTAGAGGTTTCCCAAAAAGCCACACTGTCTGGAAAACTGGGCTGTCACTTATAAGGCTGCCCCACAGGGCTGCAAGTGGGAGAGACGTTTTCAGTGTAGACTTTCAAATTCAGACGGCTTTGGTTAAACAGATGATGATTTTGACTTTTGCTGGATGAACTCTTAACTTTATATACTAACATTGTTATGCATAAGTAATTTCGTATTATTTAGTCTTTTTATTAACATGAACTCAGAGCTCTCTGATATAAATAGAGGTGTGAGTATTTAATAGAACTCACTAAATATTTTATGAATGCTGAAACTCATAAGCTGCTTATTGAAGTTGACCATACATTTTCCATTCTTGTGAAAAACAGTAGTTCACACAAGACATAGGAAGAGAGGGAATGGTTTTAAACTGGAAGAGGGGAGATTTAGACTGGATATTAGGAAGAAATTCTTTACTGTGAGGGTGATGAGACACTGGCCCAGGTTGCCCAGGGAAGCTGTGGATGCCCCCTCCCTGGCAGTGTTCAAGGCCAGGTTGGACGGGGCTTTGGGCAACCTGGGCTGGTGGAGGTGTCCCTGCCCATGGCAGGGGTTGGGCTGGATGAGCTTTAAGGTCCCTTCCAACCCAAACCATTCTGTGATTCTGCAGTTCTATGACATATGGTACTGCCTATGCATATTGACTGGATGGATAAAATATCTTCCACAGGACAGACGTGAACACTGAGTAGCAAATAATACTCTTAATACCTACATACTTAATACAAAAAACAGTGATAAATATTAGTTATGATAAAACTAATGGAATGCTTGAGGTTCACAAATCTTTATACAACTAAACAGGAAGGGAGAACAGAGCAGTAACCACCACTGAGCTCGAACCCCCACCAGGCACACACCAAGCCTTCAAAGCAATTACACAGCTTTACACCCTGTGAAAAAGTAGCTTGACTCCACGGTAAGAATAACAACGGGCCAAAACTTCTGGTAAATCCTTATTCTCATCACATGAGAGGATGAATAACAGAGCATCGTCTAATGAGGTGCCAGTTAGACATTCTGTGAGATGCCATCACTGATACCAGTGGTTAAATGAAGTAACTGCTGTATAGGCAGATGGAAATGCAGTGCAACTGCTAGAGAGGAAGTACTTCCGAGGTACAAGCTAAGGTGGCCTGCACACAAGCACGCAGAGAAATAATTAAGCATGATGTAATTTGCACTTTAGTATGCAGAATCACTCAATATTTAAATTAAACCAGAAAACATAATTTTAAAAGTTTGCATACAGACAGCAACAGAGAAGCTGCAAGTGTGCACTGAAGTCCAGTTCAGTATTTCGGATGCATTTCATATAATGCAGCCTTGTATGCTCATCCTTCTGAAACTGCTAACAGTTGAAATAGTTTTAACATGGTGTGTATTTTGAGAGTGTACTTAAATAAAACAAAATAAAAAAGAACCAACTCTTGCTCTGAAAGCTGAATACAAATAGAAACTATAAAGATAACTCCTCCAGCTATAAGCTAGGTCTTAAAAGCAATTTACTGCTTTAATTAAATACATCACAGCAGTAGGATAAAGCAAGCAAAGAATAAAACACTAATTTGTCTGATTATGTTTCTACACCTTTAGACCTCGATCTGCATTTAGCCTCATGAACATTCAACATCTCAAAAAGTAAGACAGATGACAAATCTTTGTTGATCAAACAGATTCATTATATATATTACAGCTGGATTTTAAAAAAAGAGAGAAAAAAAGAGAATAAACTGTTTTCTCAGTGAATGTTGCACTGCCAGGTTTTACTTCTAATATTTAGCTCTACAGCTTCACTTGTCACTAGAAGACACAATTAGATCAGCCAGCACCAAAATAGATGATCTAACCTGTTCATTCATAACTGCAGACAGCTCACTGAGCATATCCTTATAATGCGACTTCATCTCTCCCTGATATTCAAATTGGTCCTCCTTAATTAGGCGTTCATTGACATCAAGAGCATGTCCACATGCCTCTGCAAATTGCCTACAAGCACAAAACCACAAAGAACAACCATATGAATTTTGCAGCAATGAAAAGTATCTATACATATGCACACACTCTACTGCATCTCTTCTCCCCCTTGTTAGAAATGAACTTCAGAACTCATCCTCAGATCAGGTGGAACATAGGCTACTAGGACAGCCCAAAACAGTTTTCTTGGGAACAACTCATAAGATAGTGCAAATGCAGACGTAAATTAGCCCAGTTCAATTCAGCCTGATTTCACGTCACACCTACTCATGTTACTCACGCTATGCAGAGGGTGAAAGTCTAAACTTAATGTTTACCTGAAGATTTCCTTCAGAAGCTTAACTTGATTATCAGGATATCTCTTTGCATTTGTCTCTTCAAGAAAAGCGCGAGCATAAGCCATTGGTCCAGCATTTACCTGGGGAAAAAATACACAGTGTGGGTGCAGGGAACAAGCAGTGCAGTGTCATTATCTCTTGTGTTCCAAGGCTTGGGGACTGGCCTCAGGCAACGAAGCCTGTGTGAAGAGCATCGCTCCTCAAAGAATCACAGAATGTCAGGAGTTGGAAGGGACCTCGAAAGCTCCCCCAGTGCAACCCCTGCCACAGCAGGATCACCAGAGCAGTCACACAGGAACACGGCCAGGGGGGTTTTGAATGTCTGCAGAGAAGGAGACTCCACAACCTCTCTGGGCAGCCTGGGCCATGCTCCATAACCCTCACACTGACAAACTTTGTCCTCATCTTCAGCTGGAACCGCCTGTGCTCCAGCTTGGGACCATTGCCCCTTGTCCTGGCATTGGACATCCCAGAGCAGAGCCTGGCTCCTTCCTCCTGACACTGCCCTTTCCAAATTGATCCCCATGAATGAGGTCACCCCTCAGTCTCCTCTGCTCCAAGCTCAAGAGCCCCAGCTCCCTCGGCTGCTCCTCATAAGGGAGATGCTCCACTCCCTCCATCATCTTAACTTGAATGAAATCTGAAGTTTTACTGAGGGAAAGACAGCTGGTCAGCCTTGCACAAATTGCAGATCTCTGATGGCCTTTGAAAGTCCTTGGCTAGTTAACAGTCTAGAAAGCTCCATGTTTGAAGACATTTTAAAGAGGGCACAAGAAATACATGCACCTCTCACACATCCCAACTTTTCTAAAAAGGAAGTGACAAAACTAATCCACAAAAAAGTCCCTTTAATGTATGTGCATGCTTTGCTGTGTGATGGTCTTGTTAGAAAGGTCTTAACATCTGTTTAAAGAAGATTTGACTGAAATAGTAATATTTGCAGATAAATCCAGCAGTCATCAGTGGAAAACTTTTAATTCCCTTACGTCTTTTAGAGCAGGCTCCAACAGCACTGGAATACAAGGTAGGATCAGAAATATAAAATAGAAAAAAACTTATCTGAAATGATGAAAATCAGAATTAAAATTCAGGTAGATGCATTAAAAAAACAATAAAAAGGCAAATTGTCATTACCTTGACACTGACACTTCCTTGGAGTTTGAGCTGCAGTCGGATCATGTCCACTTCTTCCATTGTGCAAAGCTGATTGAGCTCTGAGACTTTTTTGGACATCTCATCAATCGCCACTTCGATAGGGTTCAGCTCTGTGCTGGTTTGGCTTATGACTTGAATACGCTTCTTCACATAGGGAAACAAGTGACTGGCTACTCAAAAGCAAGAAATGTATCAGAGACACTCACCCAGCAAAAGGGTATTTAAGAAACCAAACCAATTGAAGTCAGAGTATTAACTTTTGATTTTGTCAACCTCTTTACCAAGCCACACAAATGAAGTTTTAATGACCAAAGGAGCCAAAGTGACACAGCAGGTCCACGTTGAATTTTATGTACCTGGCACTGGAAAAGCATTTTCTTTTGAATTCACCACTGTTTGCTACTAAGCCTGTCACATCCACATGTCAAAAAGCTCTCACCACTCAGATTTTAGAATCCACAAATTTCTTCTTTTGAGTGAAAGCACCAACTGATAAGCCCATACAGAACTTCAAACAGCTCAAAACATCCCATCAAACATGTTTCAAGATAGAGGTAGGAACCTCTAGTTTAGCTGCATTAGGTGTCACTCAAGCACAGATGAACTACTATTAAAACATCATCCTTAATAAGTAAGGAGTTACTTTTAGTGTGCAACCTGAATGCTCCTATGGGAGCTGACAGAGGAATTATTCATCGCTAAAACTCCTTCCTTCCAGTCAAGGCCTTTTCACAGACCTCAGGGAGTCTGGCAAAAGGTACCATTATGGCACATTAAGTCTGATCTGCCCTATAAGATTTGGAAGGCCCCCCAAACTCCATGTATGCCCTTCTCTGGTGAGCATCTGCTGCTGGTCAGCTCAGACCTAAATGAGCTCCAGCGTACAGGGCAGCTGTCTCCTTGGAAAGTAGGAAACCCAGGACTTCCAGAGCTGGCAGCACGAGTCACAGCCAGGCACGGCAGAGTGCCAGGGATCCACAGCCTGCAGCCAGGCTGCACTTGTCCTCTGCAAAGGCAGGCAGCAGGCTGTGGAGCAGAGATGCTGAGTGGGTACCGTTCCAGGCACCCAGAACCTTTTCCCAAGCACAATGAACTTTCACTGCTCCTCCAGTCATACCAGTAAGCCTGGCTTTCTTCTCAAACTAAAAGCACTTCTGTTTATGTAGGAAGCAAATGAAAGCATATGACTTGAAGGTGGAGGGGGAAGAAAGATGTTTTCTTTAGAGAAAGGCAGTGACATGAGTCAGGTGCTAGAAGGAATAGCAGGGGAGAAGAGAAGGTCATCAAATTCCCACCTAACACTAAAGATAGAGACAGACTGAGAGGAGTGGGAGCTGACAGCATGTGATAACCTAGGGAGAATATTCTGCTGAAAGAACAACCCTCTTTGTTTTTGCCAGACACACCATAACAGCTGCACTTTCAAGTCAGTGAAACTAACTGCTTCAATATAGATGCCAAAACACCTACTGCTGCTCAAGCACTTAAAACAACCACACACAAGCTACTCCTCCTTTCCTCTTCTTACAAGCAAAGTTGTGTCATGTAACAAGATGACAAGATGCCCTCAGACATCAGTGCCTCTTTCCTGACTTGCCAGAACAAAACTTTTAAGCAACTACACCTGTACTGTAAGCAGCTTGCTTTATTTTGCCCTTTGGGGGAAGCAGATGCACTGAAGTTGGTGTCGAAATGGATTTGGTGTCACTCAGAAGCCTCTGGTGTGAACACAAGCCTCTCTGCTCACGGCTGCCCATCAGAACAATGCCTCCATCTCAGACAGTTTCTCTTACTCCCAGATCAAATTCAATAGTAGTTTCACAAAGGATGCCTCTTTTAAGAGAGATTTCAATCATGATAAGGAACTAAGCATTTTCTGTTTAATATGACTCGGTAAGAACAGACATATCTAGTGCTCCTAACATTCCTGTCAAAACACTGATTGCGCCCAATGAGATGAAATCTTACCTCTCACTTTAGAGAATTCTATGTAATGTATCTTATTTCCATTTTGAACAAAATTTTTTATCTTTCTAAGTTTTGCTCTTCTTAGCAGAACAGGCTCCTACTTTACTTTTTCTTTGACTTGTTTATTATTAAAAGAACAGTGGTTCATAGTACTAAGCTGTCTCCAGCAGAACCGCTCCCAAATTACATCACTGCAAGAACAGTTAAAATGTCAATAATAAGGAAAAATCACACAGCTGATGACTCCACAAACAAAAATAACTTTCCCTAGGACGATCAGCAGAACTGGAAGAAAGCTCATACTTTGCCAATGGACACACTGAAAAGATTACTTATCGTTCTGCACGACACCGTGCCCACTGACTGCAGAAAACCTGGCACACAAAAAGTGCTGCTGGGCTTAACTGGCAAAGGTGGGATGGGATGGGATGGGATGGGATGGGGGAAGCAGCCTGAGCAAACCTACTTGTCAGGATTGTGCGCCTCTTGCACTGCTCTTCTACACCTCCATGCTTTTTTCCTGAGAGCGTGAAAGGTGTTTCAAACACAAAACGGTTGATGTTGTGATGCATTTCAAAGTCGGTCTTTCGATCTTCGGCTTCTTTCTCTTCAAAGAAAGGCGTGACATATGTCACCTGGATATATGCATACTTTGGATCCAGGTCTTTCGGGTTGACCTGTGCAACAGTGGCAAACATAAAAACCTGTTAAATGTGATGAGCTTCCAAGGAATCCAGTGTATTTCTGATCTATCATAGCAATATCAATTAAAACTGAGACTTCCAAGTGTAATATTCAGACCACATTTTAATACAAAGATGTTTAACCAAGAAGCCCCTAAGAACACTGCGACTTTTGAATATAGCTATGGGCAAAAGTGGATGAAAGATAAATGAGGGAGAAAACAACCTGCTTCTGCATTGCAGTGAACATCTGCACGCTCTCTGCAGGCATATGCTGGAATATGCTCTTCTCCCACTGACCGTGATGCCCTGCTATAACATTGTCATTTCCATACAGCACCTGCCAGGCTATAAGGTGAGGGTCTCTTTTTGGGTGTAAAACTAGATTATAGTAGTTTACACATACACTCAGATCACATTCATTCAAAACACAGCTCTCAAAAAACAGACCATGCACTCACTTCTTCCTCTTGCACAAGAACTGCACATCTTTTGTACCTTATTGGAATCCTGGATGATCTTCACATTATCTATTCCAAACTTATCTGCATAAAGTTTCATCAGCCTTTGAGAGATCTCAGACAAGCCAGTTAATTTGGGTTCTTTATAGATATACTCTTTACCTTCCTCTTCTTCAAAAAAACCCTGTTTGGAAAGAAATGGAAGGATACAGTGAACACAACAGGCAGGGCAAAGCCTAAACTGGGCGCTCACACCCAGAGCATCCAGTATGCCATTTCCAGCACCTAAGTTAAAAGCTTACCTCTCTCCACTCCTAGCAGACACATACCTAGAGGTCTGTGTTTACACTGGTCTGCTATCTCTGAAGCTACCCAGGAAATAACTCATACGCATTTATCCATGGAAGACACCTACCCATCTAAAGAGTTAAAGTGCTTTCTTGAGAACACTAATGCACGTATGATGAAAAAACCCTAATGAATTAAAAACTGGACATTAAAAATGCTTTAAATTTTAATCTTTTGGTTAATTTAAGTATTTTGGAAGCACTATGCTAACAGAACACAACTGTAACTGCTGTTTGCTGGTTGTCCAGCCCAGCTGGGGTGCGTGCAGCACCCCCAGCACATCCCGTCTAGGAGCCACGGGTGCAGGCAAAGGCTGGGCACTGCGCAGGGCCACTGCATGGGGAGCGCCTGTGAACCAGGCTGCATCTGTTCAAAAAGGAACTCTGGTGGCATCTTGAAAGGCCATATGAAATTGCAGCATTTTCAGAGATAATTAGTAAATGATTTACATTTGAAAAGGAAAAAAAAAAAAGACACAGACTGTGCCTCTGCAAAAAAGCTCGATCTTGTTAAGGTAATTTCCTTATTACACTGGATGGACTTGCAGCTTTAATAAAAGGCTCCGTTGAAGAGCTGAACAAGAACCTGTCAGGCTTCAGAAGAAACGCCAACCTCAGAAAATTACCACAGCATGGCATCATGCGCAGGTGAGACACTCAAGTGCTACATGATGAACATGTACCTCATCACTCCGGGAGAAGCTCTCTGATCAGAAAGCAGCTGGTGCCCCATTAGCAAGGACTGGATTTATCTCAGCACCATGAGCAGCACCAGCCCTCGTCCTAGATGAAATCTGGCAGTATTAACCACTGCAGCTCTACCCAAAGTCTCCTCCTTTCACCTTAACACAAAGTGACCCAGAGGAAAATACATGAAGCTGCAGGGATAAAGGGGAAAGGAAGACAGCATTAATGATACCAGACTCAAGGCCCTTTAAACTTAACAAGATGTGGCTTGGACAGCTAATCCTACAGTATGCCTAGGCAAACTAGCATCTCTTGAGAAAGACAGAAGCACAAATGAATGAAGTCAAGAGATACCTTCAAAATCTCTTTGGAAGGTACTCAGGCAAAACGCAGCCTTTTCATGTTGAAGCATAGTTCAACTTTGGCCACTAAAATTATAGACTAGTCAAATCTTCACTAAAAATATACAGAATTAAAAAAAGTTAGCTATAAATTTCAACATTTGTTTAGGAAAAAAGCCCTAAGCTTTATTTGAGATTAACAAATATGTGCATCTCTGGCTTCTCGTTCAGTGAGGAGCAATGAAACTGCCTTTTGATTTAACAAGTGCCAAGAGCAACATGGGCATTACTGAAAACCAATGACTAACAGCAGCAACAGCAGCTCGTCTGATAGGATCTTAATCAATCTCACAGTGACCTTCTAACGTCGCACAATTTTAACAATATTATCAATTAAATGTCATAGGCATATGAAGAACTTCACAACTAATTAAAGAACAAATGTAGAGCTCAAAAGCTGACACCCTATAAACATTTACTGAGCTGGGCAGGCAATTGACTTTCTATTGATTTCACTGAGAAAGGATCTGCAGGTTCATAACCTGTTTTCTGATCTTGTTTCCACTGAAGCAAAACTGCTTTCTGTGGGATAACCTCATTAGTCTCATGCAGCCATACTCAAACACACTACTCAGGATTGCTTCTGTCAAAAAACATCTGTTTTCTGTTACTATTGGATGTTTTCGACAAACAAACTTCAAGTTTTCCAAATTAACTACGTGGCAAACTAGAGTATAGTTTATCCTCTTCAATACTGATTCTGTGGATGTTTGCATGCTGGAACACAGTGTTTATATATTAGTGCCAAATCCATGTGCTGATGCTGCATGGCACACTAAGACGATATCTGTGTTAATGGTTTTGCTTAAAAAAAAAACCAACCTGAAAACAAACATCTAACAGATTTAGTCCTGTCTCTAATGCAAGAGACATCATTTAAGTAGATATTCCCTACAGTATTTCATCTGACAAATGACAAGCAGAAGGTAATTGTGAGCTATAAATAATTGTGCCTACCATATGCTATATGACTGGCAAAGACTAGTGAAAGTAAGATTAAACACTTTTTACGAGCCAGATATCCTCTAATTTCAGGATTTTAAAATATTAACCAGCCAAGGTCACATTAACAATGCATATCCCTAGATTATTTTCATACTGGTTGGTTTTGTCCTGTAAGAACAACAGAGACTTATGGATTAAAACTATGACACAGAGCAGCTGAATGTAATGGAAGGGAGATGACCTCCTGGGCTGTAGGTTACTGGTTTCCACTGGGCTCTGATGGGCTCACAGTCACATTGTGACCTGGGATTGTAACCGTGGGAGTGCTGATAAGGCTTCTCTTCCTCCCCATACACCCCGGCCGCAGTCCTTGGAGCTCACAGTAAATCTGACTTTTCTCTGCCCTTTGCTGGAAGAATACACCCTCTCCCCACAGATGATTTGCCCAGGTAAAGCCTTCTGCTTTACCTGCCAAGAATTAGCACTTAATGGAGCCTTCCTTGTCTTTATTGACTGAGCACCACCCCACTATGTAAGTGAGCTTGTTGCAGTCTTTGGTAAGGAAGCTACAGCTGGTTTGTCACATTTGGAGAAGGGGACACGTCTTCTGATCTTCAGATGTAAACCTGCAGTCAGCTTACTGCTATGAAAATCTGCCTCCAATTCCTACAGCTTCTTGCCCAGATAGGAGAACAAAACCTAAGCTCTATCTTTATCTAAAGCAGCTCTGCAAACAAGTCTTGAATGTGTTGTTTTATCTGCACAATGTGAGTTTTCAGCTACTCAACATTTTTAACAGCTTTTTTTTTTTTAATTCAAGAAAGATCTTGACTTCTCAAAACACTCCTCTGCAGATAAAACCATACGCGCTGGCTAGTGTGGCCACTTGGTGGTGCAAGGAGATGCTGCCACCGAAGCCCTGTAACAGAATTTGCAGCCTAAAACAGCAGCTGCCATGAGATCCAGCTCTCTGAGCTGGCAAATAAAGCTCTCTGGCAAAAACAACCACCTACATCCTCCCTAAGGACTGCATTCGTTCAAGCCACCCCTCCTGAGGGTCCCTGCAGCAACGCAGTAACCACACACTGTCTCCGCTTTCCCATGAAGAAGAATGGTTTTCAGGTGCAGCTGCAGATTTTCTTTTTCTACTAAGAGCCCCCAAAATTCTCCCTGCAGACAGTATTGGCAGTATTCTTTTGTCCTTTAATCGGCTTTCTCTGCAGGTTTTGTTTCAGTTAAGAAACAGCAGTGTTTAATTTTTACAAAACACATACATGTATATATTCATTATCATTACAATTGATAACAATGTTCAATGAATAAATATATATATAAAACACATTTTTCATATGTGCGTGCTTACAGATGTATCTACCCACATGTATTTTATATAGAACAGTGTATGCGTAAGACTGAAAAGGAATCCCATGCCTGCATACTAAGTTTCTTTCTGAGAAGAAACATTTGTAGTTGCCTAAGCAGAGTGATTCATAGAATCACAGAATGGTTTGAGTTGAAAAGGACCTTAAAGCTCATCCAGTCCAACCCCTGCCATGGGCAGGGACACCTCCACCAGCCCAGGTTGCCCAAAGCCCCGTCCAACCTGGCCTTGAACACTGCCAGGGAGGGGGGATCCACAGCTTCCCTGGGCAACCTGGGCCAGTGTTTCACCACCCTCACAGTCAAGAATTTCTTCGTAATATCCAGTCTAAATCTCCCCTCTGCCAGTTTAAAACCATTACTCCTTCTTCTATCACTTCCTGCCCTTGTGAAAAGTCCCTCCCCAGCTTTCCTGTAGGACCCCTTCAGGAACTGGAAGGCTGCAATAAGGTCCCCCCAGAGCCTTCTCTTCTCCAG